CCCGTACGAGCAAGAGAAATTCCGTCCCGGCAAATTTCAATCGAAAATATTATTGATAGTTTAAATTTAAATAAGTTGAAATTAAACTTACATCTAATCAATCTATTCATTTATAATTCACTGTATATGTAGATTTTTTTAAAAAATATATTAATTAGTCTTACCGGAAATATTAATTAATTATTAATTATTAATAAAAAATTTTTGAAACAATATAAAATAGACAATAATGTTAATACTGTAGTTATAATTTATGCAGTTTACAAGTTAAAATTCAATTAATAATTGATAATCCAATTCTTTTATTTTTTAAATCATCAACAAATTTATTTTTTTTTTGTGTACATTGGAATCTGTTCAATCTTAAAATTGTTAAAACGTATTAAAAATTTTTCTAATATTTTAAATAAACAGAAAAGAATGTGAAACAACACGTCGGTTATATTTAGCATACAGCATCAAAGTATTAATTAACTAAATTTTTTGTTTGTTTTTAATCAAAAATCACAATATGCTGCATATAATGCTTGCTTGTTTTTAATTATTAAATTAAAAAATAATACACATTCAGTATTAAAATGTATTAGTAAACTTGACTGCAAATATTACATCTATTATTAATTAATATAATGGTAGATATTCTTAAATCCACAACATACTCCAAATACCATTGTATTATTATTTATAATTTAGTTATTCGCTGATTATTTATTACAAGAGAGTTGATTCAAGAAGTTGTTATTGCATAATTTTACTTATTTAAACATTTAAAATTTAGCTTTGACTGTAGATCAACTTTTGAAATAAAAATTGGTTTTAATTTAAAAAATCAATATGGATGAAATGTGTTATTAGTAACTTATTTCAACTATAAATATTACATTGTAAACACTTTATATAAAAAAAAAAGATTTCAATTAATAAAAATTGTAAATTTTTTTTAACTAATACAACTTCTGGCCATTAATAATTAAATATTAAAAGTTTTTTATTAGATAATAAAAATATTACCTTTTGTTTTAATGACATTTTTTTAAAAGTTGTATATTAAAAAAAAATTTTTTTTAAATATTTATATCACAAATAAAAAATCTTGAGACTTTTTTAAAAATTTGTTTTTCAAATTAATAAAAAATTAATAAAAAAAGCCTTTATAAAAATATATTTGTTATATATATATATATACAATATATAGTATGGTGCAAAAAAAAATAATAATTTTTTTATAATTATAATTTAATTAATAATTTAATCAATAATTGTTTTTATAATTTATCATTTTATTGAAAATATTTAAAATTGCTAAAAAAATTTTTTCCATTTTCCTTAATTTTTTAAAAAACTTTTTTTTTATCACTAATAAGAATAAAAAATCTTTTTAGAATAAACTTATTAATTAATATTTTTCCAAAGACTAATATTTTTCTTCTTCAAAATAGAAAATTATTTTTGTTAATACCAATATAATATTTCTTTTATATTTCAACTTTAAGAGTTTAATTAAAAAATTCAAACTATATAATAATGGAATTTTTGGTTAAATTCTTTAAAACTGAAATATCTTGTTAATAAAAATTACATAAAGAAAGATCTTTGATTTAATATTTTTTTTGCTTATATAATAGATTGTCAAAAGTTTATAAACATTTTTTAAAACTCAATAAAAAAGTTTTTTAAATAAAAAAAAATTTTTATATAATAAAATATTTACATATTGATTATATTTTTAATTTACTAACTTTGTAATTAGCTTTTTTTTTTCATGCAAAACACAAGGAAACTAAGAGGCAGCTCTTTCACCATAAGACCAACTATAATAACAATGAGTTAAACAAAGATAACAAATTCAACAAGGTCAGAGAAACAGCCATCCAACCATATCCCACCTCTGCAAAGAAATCCAAAACATATGTCGAAAAATAGAAAACTAGCATAATTCCAATCAGCACCAGCAACACACTGACAGAAATGACAAAAATTACTTCTCCACAAGAACCAAACGATAGAGTCCCCAGCAAAAACTGGGCAGAAATGATGGAAAATGAGAAGTTCACGGCATGGCCACACCCAGGAATAAAAGGGAAATATGATAACCAGACCTACCAAAGTGCCAACCAGGAAAGTGATAGGAAACCCGCAAGATTAGACAAATTTGACACCGACATGGACAGTGACTCAGAACTGGGCAGAGAAACAGACGGCACAGGTTGGTCCACAGTTAAGAAAGGAAAACAACTTGTTAGACAGAGCACCAAACCCAGAGCATCATCCCTAATCGATTGGGTGAAAAGATATGGAAGGAAAAGATTCAAACTGAAGATACCTGCAGACAAAGTCAAAGGCAAACACACAAGTAGCAAAATACAGATGGTTGCCAAAGTCCTCGGCAGCCCGATCGGCCTAATTTTCATCTGCGCTGAAAAAATTGAAAATATCGAACACATCATAACAATTTTCAAAGATCAGCAAGTGGCAGATTGGAAGCAACAGACTTGCTGAAAATAATTTCAACAGTATATATTTAATTATTACTTTTTTAATAAAGATCACAATGTCTTATCTTAACATTAAAAAAAAGATTTATTAAAAAACTTATCTTTATTATATTGATTTAATATTATATCCAAAAATACTTAATATATTGTAAAAAAAAAAACTCTTATCCATTCACCACTGATTCTTTGAAATTTCCTTTTATAATAATTTTCTTTAAAGAAGCGCTTTCCACTCTCTCAATATACTATCTATGCCATAAGCTTAAGAACATAAGGACTTTAAGGACCACTGTTGCATTGGGATGGAACCTTGGGCAAGGGCCAAGCAAGTTTGGGAGTTTTGTTTGTTTTTTTGTTTGTTTTTTGTTTGCATAGAGAAAGGCCCATGGCAGTTCTTCTTTATAACTCTATCTTTATATATCTCTTACTACCTATATATTATTATTATTATCCCCCTATCATTCCTCACTATTGCAAATTTAATTCTAAAGTCATACTCAAGCAAAATTACTGGATCTAATGCTTGTTTCAACCAAATCTTCTCAACTACCCATCACTTGATGTACAATATTGCGCCAATCCATTTTTCACAAAAACTCAATTATTCTCAAAAACTAAAATCAGTTCTACCCTCTAAATGATTAATGTATACTCAACAATCAATCAAACACTAGCAACCCAATATAACAACAATCAAACTGGCTTAAACCTGTTTGTAATGACAACAACAACAATTTCATATCACAATACCCCAATGGCTTTCCTAATCAATATAACAATAACATCAATATTACAATCGTATAAAAATACTGGGCTTTTTACATGTCTTACTCAGCCCTTAAACAGTTGCCTTATGGTTTCACAGGTCCAAGCAACAAAACCAAAACCCAATCAACAACATATTACTTCTAAAAGCTGCCATTATAGTTTCACAGATCCAAACAGCACAGCCAAAACCCAAGTCAATGAAATTATTACTAATGACCACATTAACTTAGCTGTTTATGGATAAGCATTAGCTATTCATGGATCACTACAAATTTCTTTTCATTTATGTAGTGTTTTTTAGGAACTAGTGGTTATTTATATAATAGGCTAACATTAACTTAAATAAATATTTAATGTAATGACAGGAATTTTCTATAATTCAATAAAGTCTCACATTTAATGCTCATTCGCAATAAAAAAAAATACTTAATATATTGTATAAGACTTAAAGTTGGATATTATGCTATAGATAATAAATAATTTTGTTGCCTTTTTTATTGGATTAAATAAAATTAATATATTATTTATTCTTTTGAAATTAAAATTATTTGAAAATTCATTATTTATATTTGAATAATTTGTAATTAGTATTCAAAAAGCTATTTTTTTTTTTTTTTTTTTTTTTTTTACTGCGAACAGAGCAAGAGATGCAAGACTTTTATTAATTATATATTGAAGATTATACAATTAGAGATCAAATAGATCAAGGTTACATCAAGTATCGATAATTAGACTATTGCTAAATTACAAATATTCGCTTAGACACAGTGACTTACTAAACTTTTCAGTACCTCGAAGAGGCTTACTAAGAGAAGTAAGGATGGACAGCGCTTACCCTATCCATGAACAGTGTTAGATAGTGTTGGAAGTATATTATTGATTTGATAGATTTTATTGATATAGATGTTAATTGCTGAGTCAGAGATGTTGATGGGATTCGTTTTTAAGAAGCAGTTTAGAAGTAAATCAGTGGAAGGCAAGATCTTTTCCTGGGCAGGTTGCTGTTGGGTTGAAGTAGTAGATTTTCTCCATTGAATACCTGAAGAAGGAGAAGTATTGGCTGTTGCTGACCTAGGGGACCATACATGTTTGAAAATAATTTCCAAAGCTTTTTTTGCAACTGAACCCTTGTGTTTAATGGATAGGTCTATTGGGGGTGACGAGATGCCAGCCGCCCATTCATACAAAAGAGGTCCAGTTATTGATATATTGTTGATGATGTTTTTTGCTTCTGTTTTGTTTTTGATTTTGTTGCTTTTGTCAACGAGGTTATTAATTACTGTTATTATTTTTTTGCTTTTAGGATCAAGGGTAATTCGATTCTCGGGGCACGCGAAGACGTGATCAAAGTGTTCAGGTACAGAATTACAGCGTGGACAAAGATTGCTGGGGTAGAGTTGAGGAAATCTACTATTCAGTTTTGCTCTTGTAGGTAAGTTGTGACAAAGAATATTAATCCTGAAAGCCAACAAGGCGGAGAATTTAAATTTTTCGTGTGCTGTGGCCTGGTTATGTTGTTCAATAAGAATCGGATCTAAGTCCCAGTTTAATCTGTTTGACCACGATTGTATCAATCTGGTATGAAGTTTCCTTTTGGTTTTAGTAATCATCTTTACCCATGAAATAGGATTTGAAAAAGAGGCACCAGAAATAAGAGGAGAAGTTGTGAAGCTTGATGGTTTCCAATCAAAGGTTTCGAGGTTAGGAGTGGGTGTAGGAAAGAATTCCTGGGTATTGAAAGTGATATTTAGGTTTTTTTGATTAATGAGTTGAGAAATATCGAATTTATATTGACTGAATGTTGATTTGATTCTTCTGTTAACGTATGAGGGCACAGACAAGTTGGGAGTAATATTTGATGAAATGATAAAGGATGAGTTGAATTGGACATTGAGGCAGATGTGTTTTATGGCCAATAAAAGACCCAGGGAGCGATCCTCTATTGGTTTAAAAGAGTAGGTAGAAGTTCCTACTATGGTGATTGCTTGTGATGTAATAGCAATTTTCCATTCAGATGTGTGAGGTAAGAAGTTTGGAGTAGAGGGAATTGTAATTTGGAGATTTGTTTGTGGGGGTGTATCTATTAAGGTATCAATTATTTCGTCTATTGGATTGAGAATAACTAACTTTCCTTTGCGTTTAACCCAGATTGAAAGGGTTTTGGTTTGAGGAAGAATCGAGAGTTTTGTATTTGTTTCGGAGAGTGTATTAATAGTTCTATCGAATAATGTTCCAGAGATGGAGACATCAGATAGGTAATCAATTTTCTTGATGATTCTAAGTGAGGAGCCTTCGATAAAAGCAAAGTATCGGTTATCTGGACAAGGGATTGCGGATGAAGATCCTTTGATATTTGAGGGGATGCTAATTTCATTAAACCAATTAGGTGCTTTTCTGAGATTAATATTGCTGTCGGTAAACTTTCCTCTAGTAACTAGTTGGTCCCATTCAAGTTTTATTGAGGAGTCTCTTATCAAGATATCTTCCATTGTTTTAATTCCCAGTTGGGATGCCTTAAGAGCATTTTTAAGGTCAAGGTATGCATTTAGTCCTATAGAAAGGTCGCTGTTGTGTATTTCCACAGCGCAGTGTGGAGGGCAGATACTTATTTGATACTTTTGAGCTATGGATGCTGCTTTGAGAATCCAATTATTTTTCTCTTTGAAGAATTCAGGTTGATGGAGTGGGCATTTCCAGATTGCAGAAGACTCTTGAATTGATCGTATTTCTTTAAGAGTTGTTTCTCTGGTACAAGGATTGTTTAATCTCATCAAGATTAATTTAGTTAGCGTAATATCTTGTCTATCTTCTAGGTTTGTTACATTCAGGCCCAGAGGGGAAAAAATTATCGGATCTGGTATAGTTCTTTCAAGCCGGTATTTACTTTTACAGATTTTGTTTAAGCTTCTTTGTAAAATAGATAGGTTGGTTTTGTTCATAGGAGAGACATTGAGAGCGTATTCCATTTTTGCTGGGATGATCCATTGAGCCACTTGTTTGGCTATAGGACCATTCCAATTTTTTGCTTGAAGGATGGATTTTGAGATTTCTGAGGACTCTAAAAGGAGTTGCTTGGAGGTTGCTTGCGTGGGACTGAAACTAGAGAAGTAACAGCCCAGATATCTAAGAGGTTGTTTGTGAGCGAGAGCAGTCAAGTTTGTTCCCAATAGGTTGAAGGATAAATCTCTTTTTGGGCTTTTGTTGCCGCCTGTGTAAATTATTTTTGTTTTTTCAGCATTGCATTTGATTCCATTAATTTCTAAAAAGTTCGCAAAAATATCCATGTCTTTTTGTATAACATCGTGACTGTTACCCAGGATGGCTAGGTCGTCCATATATGCTAGTACATTGAATTTGATTTCTGGAGAGGGATGAAGTAATCTGGATATTAGAGGGTCGTAAAATATTACCCACCATAGTGGTGCTAGTGTCTCGCCTTGTTCTATGCCATTGTCTACTTGAAATTTGCCAGAAGAATAACTATTAAGATTGATTTCAGTAGTTCTATTTGTGAGAAGGTTTAACGATATATTTTTGAATTTGGAGGGGAGACTTATTCTGTCCATGGCTTTATGCAAACTGTCGAGAGGTACTGAGTCGAATGCCTTTGCGATATCAAAAGACACAACCCAAAGATATCTGTTTAGATTTTTGGCTTGGTTTATTGAAGATGACATTAGAGCAAGAGGTTCAGAGGTACTTTGATCAGGGAGTCCTGCGAAATTGGCTTCAGAGAGAATTTTATTTTCTTTGATGATTTTGGAGAATCTAGTGTTGATTATTTTGGTGAAGATTTTTCTTCCTGAATTTAGGAGTGTAATTGGTCTAGTGTCTGCAATATTATAGGACCATATTAATTTTTTGGGGAGGAGACAAATGTTTGCTTCTTTCCATTCCTTGGGCAATTGTTCATTTCGTAAAATAATATTAAGAACTTTTAGAACAGTAGGCTTTGTTTCATTGGATAGGACTTTCCAAGCTTCGTAAGGAACTCCAGATAATCCTGGCATTTTGTTATTAGATAAAAGATCGAGAGTGGAATTAAATTCTTCAATAGTGAAATCTTTGATAGCTTCATTATAAATATTGGGATTAATTGAGCGGTCCTCGTAGGTTTCCTTCCAATCATCAGTTAGAGTAAAGTGTCTCTTTTGTAGTGTATTTTTAAAGTGCATTAATACAATGTTTTTGATTTCATCTATGTCATCGGTGATAACACCATTTTCATTTTTGAGATGTGAAAGATCGAGTTGAGGTTTAAGATTACCCAGCACCGCCTTGATGGCCTGCTTTGGCTTGTTCCAAAATTTGAGAAGGTTGCGCTCAACATTTTTTTTCAGTTGAGATAAGTTCCACTCTTTGGTTTTATTGATGATTTCTGTCCTGAGTTCTTTTAAGGCACGTGAAATTCCTTTAGGGAAGATATTGTAACTATTGTTGACTTGAAAGTAAATTTCTTTTGTAGATTTACAAAGAATTTGATTCGTTTTTCGGGCTTTGAGAAGGGCTCTAATATGATTTTGAAGATGCCTAGTACCGGGTATAAAAGGTTTTCGGGAAATATTTTTTTTCACTTTGGGTATATTATTAGTGAGCGAACTTTTGATGGTATCTATTACGTTGTTCCAAGTTGGGTTGTTAAAAGCATTTAAAGTGAGATCTAATTCTTCTGCAAAGTTTTTGATGTCGTCGGGCTTTGCAATCTTGAAGTCGAAAATTTTGTTTGATTTGTAGGTCTTGAGAGAAAATTCAAACCAACTTAACGTAATTTTGATCATTTTGTGATCAGAAGGAATAGGGGGTGTTAGGACTCTGTAATCCAGAATTTTGTTTGAGAAATGGTGAGAGATCCAGATTTGGTCGATTCTGGATGCACTGGAAGAGGTTATGTGTGTGAAGTCAGACTTATGGCCAAGAGCTTCGGCTACATCCAACCATGAATGAAGGTAGTTATAAATGTGTCTTTTGGCATTGGTGATTTTAGCATTGAGATGGGGAGTCTCCTTGGTGTAGGAATTGAAGTCACCTGCCAGAATTTGCAATACATTGTTTTTTGAATTGTTCGATCGTATGAATAGACTAAGGGAGTCAACTGCAGATTTTCTCTCCTTTTTGTCATGAGGTAAGTAGCAAGAAATTACTACAAGATTGATTTTGGGTTTGAATTTGAGATGGAGGGCTATCCAATATTGATTGATTGCTGTAGTTTTGAAAACATGTGGTTCGAGATCTTTACCCAATAAGATGGAGGCACCATTTTTGGCTGAAAGATCAGGAACGGAATTAAAAAGAGCAAAGCTGTTGAGTCTTTTGGGGAATGGTTTTTTGATGGATTGTTTGGTTTCTGAACAACAGATTATTTCTCTGGCTCCTATGCATGTGGTGAGATACGTAACTTTGGCTAGATTTTCATTCCCTTGTGTGTTAATTGTAGTGATACTAATGAGATTTTTAAGTTTATTTTGTTTG